GCTCCAACCCTGGCGGTGTTCAAAGCCAGGTACATTCCCCAAGTGCTTTCCTTTCCTTGCTTTAATGGTGACCACGCCAAAAGGAAAGCTTGCTACAAAGAAAGGAAGTATGAAAGAACTTTAGAGTGCAGACAAATGATGTAAAACTTTCCTTCTTTTGTGAACTGACATGGTGGAAGAGACAAGACTCACAAGAGACAATCTGCATTTTCACCAAGTTAATAATACACTGTCCTGCTCCTTCAAATTAGCTGATCATCATGAGCATTTTGAAACGCACAATTGAAACTTTTTATCTGGGGACTAGGGAGATAGGAAGAAAATAGGCCAAGCAGTTAACAGCAGATGAACTGCATACTTTTTTTCTCCTGTAGATATGAAATCATATCTCATTGTATTCAAATTCTAGCATAAAAATTATCTTGTAGCAGACATTATCCAAACATAGTATTTTAATATTTTAAATCTCTAATCCCCACACTTCATTAAGTTTATCCAAGCAAAACACAGCATTAACACTGAAGTGGAAAATGTACTCAATTACAATCCTGACAATAAAGCTTTCAATTCTTGAAAGCCATGGGTTTGCAAATTAATTTGGGAATGCATCATCTCTGTCATGCTAGTATCTACTATTCTCTCCTTTCCCCACCTAGATCTTAACTCTTCCTCTTTAAAGCAAGCAGAACTGTCACTGCAAAAATCTTCATGCCTTTCATTTAGAATCACAATGCAACAACAGAATTGTGTGGGGCTACAAATGCCTTACACGGTATTTCTCCATATGGCTATAGCTCCATTTGGTGATTGCTTACTACAGCATTTGAGCACCATTTACACAAAGAAGTGGCACAGCGAAGGAGCAGAGGTGGGACTGGATGACTTGCTAAAGTCCAGAGCGTGCTTCCACAACTCAGTTACAAAAAAGGATGGTCTGATCAGGGAATTCTGGACCCCCTGTGCTCAGTGGCTGGCCCAAGCTGCCCATCTGAAGAAGCCATGCCCTGCTTCCTGTCAGTCTGCCTAATAACCATGGTTAGGTTAGATCATTGTGTGCCCTGACACTAAGTTTGACCTGGTATTGCTAAATTTATTGTCATCTCAGAGATAACTGTACTACTAATTTGTGTTTGTTACAGTACCATTACTCTAAGATAAACTGTTTTCCCTAAAGCAGTTGGTCTGGTGTTTCTCTCTATAGCCCAAACCTGTAACTTATCCAGGTCAAATTAAGACCCTACAAATTGTTCCTACTTCTGAAAGTGATTAAAGGCTTTCAGGTTAAAGCCGACTAATTAATCTAGCATCTCAAAAACATAAAGCAGCAACAATAATTTCACACCAATATCCATGGGAAACTGGATACACATAGAAAGGTAACCAAGAAGTTTCATTACAGTTGCTTAATGCTAAAAACAGTGCTATACTGACCAAAGATTTACCAGAAGAAACAATAAATTTCAGCTGCTTATCCTCTTCTGTGAGATCAGGCAGCTGCCTTCTGAAAATCTACTTGAGTATGCTGGTACACTCCTAAATTTCAAAAGCTAAACCAGAGTTATCAAATAAAGCTAATGTCAGTCTGATAAACAAAAGAACTTACAGGCCACTGTTCTTCTGTTGGAGTGCCCAGTGTTTCAAATATCCTTGTTAGCTGGTCAAGATCAGAGTCTCCAGGTAAAAAGGGAACCTAGAAGAAGGCAACAACATTTGACTGAATTAACGTCTGAATTTCAGTTCTAGAGAAAACCTGTGAGCTACGCCTCATAATTGAAGGACAAAACGTCCTTGTGCATCAGCTGCCCTCAAAGGTACACAATATTTGAGGATTTCTAACAATGTCCAAATAGATTCTGAAGGTTTCTTGCCACCCAGGTTTGATGGCACTGACTTGATAGCAGAAAGCTAACTGTAAGATTAAACCAGCAGCATATTAGTGTAAAATAACTAAAGGAAAGGTTTTACATTTCATTTGCCAGTTTAAAGTTGATTGGTCACAGTGATCTTTCCATCATCTGCTCCCTGAAGTTAGGTTTTATATATAATCAAAACATTTAAAGTGAATCGTAACTGGATTACACAAGCAGCAGTTAAGATTGATGGAATGAGATCACAGCATGAGGGAGACTAGTAACCCACTAGGACAGAAGCTGCCTAATCAGTCTTACATCTCATTTAGACTAAGCAGAAGACAGAAAAGGGGTTACTCGCCCAGTTCAACTTGTAGCTTGCACATCAGGTACCCAGTGCCAATCAAAAAAAGGACTGTGTAGCCGGAGCAAAATTATGAGCAATTAGAGGCAGTAATGAATAGAGATTTCCAATGACTGTGATGCTTATGGAATCTTAGTCTATTTCACATCTTCACTTTTCTTACAGCTACCAAGCTTTTGGAAGCTTTTTTCTCCCTCCTTTCTTCCCTTTCCAAAATAGCCTAACTGGCTTTGCCTGCTGCTGTTAGCAGGAGAGAGGAAGCCCATACACAAAGTTGTAATGCACTGAAGAGCAAATACAAAATGCTTACATTTCAAGACTTACCCTAAGAAGCAGTTCAGCTAAAATACAACCAACAGCCCACATATCAACACCAACACCATACATTCTAGCACCAAACAATAGTTCTGGGGCTCGGTACCACCTGAAAAGAAAACACATTTTGGGAAAAATCACAAATGGGAATACATTCACAAAATATACTTTGCATATTTTGCAGACCTGCTTTTTAAACCATATCTTAAATAAGCATGCCACGAACATTAATAAATATTTTAACTGAGTCAAGCTTTTGTCTCATAGTAGGTAATGTGAATAGATTCTAAGTGTCATGAGTAACAAACTAACAGCTGTCTTGCTCTGAAAGCCAGGCTCATAGGCAGATACATATTATTTCCATACATTTCAAAAGAGTATCACGCACCAGAACAACCCCATGGATTCATGCTTTAGCAGTTCTTAGAGAGAGTTCACTAAGCAATGCTTTCTTATGTTTCTTTGGGAGGCTCTTGCCACTACAGCCACATCGCATGAGCTGGATGTCAAACTTTCAAGATGTTGATACGGCATGACACATTTCAAGAGACACTGCAAAACAGCTAACCAATCACTACATAAGAAAAAAAATAGGATGTCTTACCTTGTTACTACCTGGTGTGTATAAACTCTGTTTGGGCTTCCAAAAGATTTTGCCAGGCCAAAGTCAGCCAATTTTAAAACCCCATTTTCATCTAGCAACAAATTATTTGGCTTCAGATCCTGTCAGTACACAAAGCAAAGAATGACTTTTGTCAGTGTTGATAAAAACCAGGCATGTAATGAACCTCCTGGCAGGTGTGCTATCACAGCATTCTAATATACAGGCTTCTGATTCTGAACCCCACCAACCCTGGAAATCAAATACTTAATCATACACGAAAATCACAGTGGAACACACCCATTTGAATATTATCATATTTAAGCTGCAGAGGTTTTTTTAAAAAAAAAAAAAAACAACAACAAAACAAACCACAACAAAACAATGCCTCCTAATAGGTTTTAGCTTTGCTGAAGTTAACAGCAGTTCTGTCTTAACTTACTATCTTAACTATCTTAACAACATAGTTGCCAGAAAGACCTTGCAAATATTTCAATTAACTGTAGAAATCATGGAAGTGATACAATTTAATACAGTAATAGTGTGCTGTGGGTTGACTTCTGGCCAGCAAAGATGCACCCACACAGCCATTTGCTCACTCCATTCTAATGTCTTTTCTCACCTCCTCCCCGGCAGGACAGGGGTGAGAACAAGAGCAGCAAAAGTGAGAAAACTCGGGGTGCAATATTACTGCAGTTTTACAGGTAAAAGAGAGAGAAAAAAAACCAAGGCAAGCAAGCAATGCAATGAAAATCATTCACCATCTTCCACAGCAGAGAGTACCCAGGCAGTCTCTAAACAACAGCCACCATGGAAGCCCCAACACCTCCTTCTTCCTCTAGCCCAGTCTTTATTGCTGAGCACGGTGTTGCATGGCATGCAGTATCCCTCTGGACAGCTTGGGTCAGCCATTCCAGCTGTGTCCCCACCCCAGTTCTTGCCCACCCCCAGCCTCCTTGCTTAAAAGCAAGAAAGCCCTGACAGCACCCAGGCACTGTTCAGCCACAGACAAACACTAGTGTGTTACAAGAACTGTTCCAAGCACAAATAAAAAAATAAAACAAAACACACACACCACACATCTTACAGGCTGTTTTGAAAGGAATTCAATCAATCCCAGCCAGACTCAATTCAGTGCTCACCAAAGTCACATCTAACTTGAGACAATTCTACGTAAACATCTAAATAATCAATAATTCTTACACTTCCGGTACTGCTATCGTCTCTCCAGATAGCATGCACGCTTACGGACTAACAGAATCCAAACTTCAAAACTATTTTCATTAGACTCAAATTCTGTCAAATATAACTTCTGTGACAGCATCCAGGCTGTCAATTTAGTACATGCTTACCCTGTGTAGAATCCAGTGCTGATGTAAATATTCTAATCCTTGAAGAGTCATCAGCATATATGCCTTGATATGAGACTGTGTCAACACAATACTAGTATCCTTTATAATAACCTGTAAAGTGTTAGATTGATAGTAAGGCTTACCATGCAAGATTAACTTACTTCCATTCTTCCAGAGCAAAAGTTATTTCATCCTTTAAGACCAACTTCGAATTGGCAATCACGTGTTTTCTACCATTCTCACCTTTTTTTTTCCCAGGGAAATGTCTATTCTGGAGATCAGAAATTGAAATGGGGAGTCCAGACTCCTACATGAACTTTGCATAACAGGCAAATGAGAAAATGGGGGAAACTCAAGTATATTATTTTATCTCAGTTCCAGTTTGATACCCAGGCTTTACAAAGACAAAAATTGTAAATGTGTCAGTAAAGTTGAAATTACGTTCCCACTTATTCCTGCTTTTTTCATGCAACCTAAGCATCTGATCTTTGTAAATGCAATGGTTACCTCTTCTTCTTCCAAGAAGATAGGAAGTATGACCACTTTCCTGTATTTTAACAAATTACTTAGGTTTTCTACCTTCTTTGCTTTTTTAACATGAAAATTCTATGTAAGCATCCTGTTTGAAAGTATTTTCTATATTACGCCCCAACTTGCTTGTTAATACTACTTTCCTGTTCAGTAATAGCATTTACTAAGCTTTAAGTTGTTTGAAGCTTAACAAAATAGCTAATACTATGCAAATTTTCATGTACGCAGCAATCACAACAGGCTGCAGTCCAAAATGGTGGCCTGAGTGATACCACAGTACACAGTTAAATGCTCCACATACCATTATGTAGTACACAAGTATTTTATTCCTCTTTGCTCACCGTTATCCTTTTCAGCTCTAAATGTTGTATAGCTACTAAGTCAACAGAATGAATCCTCTAGAAAGTCTATTAGCAAAAACCTCATCTAACCTTTTCAGTCTTGCATTCATCTGGCTTTCAGCAAGCCTGTCCATGTTTTCTTGTAATATTTTAAATGTAATCCATAGTTCTTAACAGCATGTGTAATAAGCCTGCTTAACAACTACATTAATTTCAGTCCAGAGTAGGTATAATGTGTGTATATACAGATCTGACATGAACTGCCATCTAGAACAGTCTTCCAAAACAAAAAATCTTGCCTCACACTATCTCTTATAAAGACTTCCACAAAGCCAAATTGTCTTAAGGTCTTGGAGAATGAACACACTGACTTAAAAGTACTTAGCATTATTACATTTATTAATGGTTCAGGTGCATGTGACTTTAGTACCAGCTCATCACTTGGTATACTTTAGTATAGCATTTATTTGACCATGTTTGATGATATTATGCTTAACAGTTGCAGTCTGAGAGCATGATCTATGACTGAGGTACTAGAAAACAAACATACTAAACCATCTGTTTCCTGAAGATCATTCTGACAAGTATTTAAAAGTAAAGGCATTAGCAGCTGAGAACTCACAAAAATTGTCTAACTATTCAAACTACTTTTAAGACACGATCTTAATCAACTGACAGTGTAAGTCATCTTTCTAACATAGGCAAATGTAAGCTTGTTAAACAGTATTAAAAAAAACCCCAACATCTGAACATATGGAATTAAGTCTTTAAAAATCTTACCTCTAGATCCGTTTCCATGAAATCAAATACCAAACTAATATTGGACTTGTGTCCAAATGCATCTTGAAGCTGTAAAACCAAATACATTATGATGAAGCTACTCTGGTACTTCCAATTTTCTAAATTTCTGCACCATTGTAGTCTGCATGTGGATTTTCAGCTTGCTGAACTCATTCAAATTTTTCAGCTTGCAATACAAAAATTCTTACTCAGTTCAGCTTCTTAATTCAATCTCACATTATTTAAAGAATAAATAAAAAAAATTACATTAACTTCACCATGTTAGCTACAACAGGTAATCTAGTGAGCACATTGTCCTCTCCACAAACTTTGCTGTTCTATGAAACTCCTACCCTTTTGTGAGACCAGACTAAGTTTCCCCATGGATTCAGCTCTGTGTATCTGCTTCCTGTAAGCACGCAGTATTTAGAAATTTTAAGTGTTAGGCTTACTAATTTTTTTCAAAGGTATTCTTAGCATGCATTCATCTTTGTAGCAAGCTTTCTAAGATACATAAAACTGTGGAGAACATCCAAATGGCCCTTTCTTAGGATGAAGCTGTATAATGACAGAATCATGTTTTAATTTGGGATAACACAATAGTGTTATTTGAGATAAGACAATGCTAAGTAAGAACAGATCATCCTGCCTGATACTCTACCCTCAGGATCAGGAAGATATGCTCTCCATGGTGTGGCTCATTCCTCACAGTCTCAGCATGATGACCACATGAATTACCCAACTGCAAGAAATTAATCTGCACAGTCTGTAACGGCAGTGACTGTGCTCATGCTCTTCCCCTGCTGAAACCATGGTAGCAGGAGATACTATGCAGGTGAGCCAACAGGCTTTGACACTTGCAGTTCATGCCCCTTACACTTCTAACACCCACAACAGTTTTATCAGGACTGCTAGGAAAGGCACAACCCTTCTTAGCCCTTGATCACAAATTTGTCCAATTCTTTTTTTCAACTGCTGGTGCTATCTGCTTTTACAATGCTTGCAGCAACATATTCAATGAATTCACTACACAGTGTGTAAAGCAGCACAACTTCCACCCTCCCTGCTACCTAATACAAATATGTTTTAAATGCATCTCTTATTTCTAGTACTGTGGAGTTCTGCAAATATCACTTCTGCATGTACTTAATTTACCATCTCAGTTTTGTAGAACTCCCCATTCCCAGCCTTTTCCTTTCCAGAGTGAGGAATCAGAGAGTCTTTTCCATAAAGAAGATGCTCCACCCCTTTGCCATTTTAGTTGTCTTCCTTCGCACATTCTCTGACAGCTATTGCAACCACTTTGAAATTTAAGTTCCAAATTCAGAAGAGAACCATATTTTCACTCTAGTAAAGTTAAATAAAGTATCTGAAAAACTCATATTTGGTCTAATATTTATGACAGACCCTCAAATCATCACTATTAGCTAATTTTAAAGTATCTTTAGCTCTATCTAAGTATCTGTAGCTGGAAGTCAACCTAAATGCAACTGAAAAGGTACAGGTTTCCCTCTTCCAATAGAGGTTTTAGATACCAGCACAAAAATCTAATAAGCCACATGAATCTCACTTTACCACTGCTTATAAAAGCCTGCTTTAGGCTGTCACCAGTTCCATATGAAGCAAACAATAAGGTAAATTCAGCACCATACTCACTTGAAAGTCTATCAAGAGAGATGCAAAATCAGGTAACCTAAATTTCCACAATTCTCGACACCATTAATATCCACATAGCCCCAGGCTAAAAGGTAATAGGATTTCAAAGGAAAGTACTTTGTCCTTGTTATTGAAACGGGTGAGCGTTGCCTTTTTTTTTTCCCCCTTTGCTATAACAATTGATTTACTGTCCATTTTGGGCTAGAAAAAATAGCTCCAATAAAATTAAGTATCATGCCCATGACCCAACTAATTCTAAATTTCAGTCTGAGTCTGTATCAAAAGCATTTGAGGACTGATTCTAGAAATAGCATTCATTTTACTTACACCAATAATATTTGGATGACTTAGCTCCTGTAACAATTTTATCTCCCTGAGGGCTGTTCTGTTGATTCCTGCATTGGAAAAAAAAAAAAAAAAAAATATAATATAAAGGGAAGAAAAAACCCCAAAGATGACAGACAGAACAAAATGTAAACCTTTGGATTCATTCCAAAGAAATCTCCCACTCTGTTAATCACAGACGATTTAGTACTACAACATCACTTTCACACCACTCGTCAATCTGTTAAATAACAAATATTGCCATAGGTGAGATTTCTGCAGAATAAAAGTGAATGTACACTTTCTTCCACAGCAAATAAGTTCTACACTACAGTAACCACATTTAGATTGTGAAGCAACCTGTCCCCTCTTCGGCAAAGAGGGAAAGTTCGGTCTTGCAAATACCATTCTTCAATGTGTCTTCCTTCCAGAGGGAGACATGCTGAAAAGCCTTGTCAATATATCTCTTCTCTTTTTGACACAGCATTATTTAATAAGGCAAGGCATGTTTGCCTTTCTATATTCATGCTGTGGCATAAACAGCATTCACATACTATATTCATGCAGTGGCCAAAACCTGTTCACCCCTGCCTAAATCCTTTAATGGACAGATTTTATAGAGCAATAACTGGTGGACACAGTGGGGAACGATGCACTTTGGCAGTTATACTGACTGCACTGCATCAAACCATGGTTCCTGCGGGGTAACATTTCCTCCTTCAAAAATCCTGGTATGTATAGTTTGTACAAAAACTGACTGTAAAGCAAATGCTTGTGGTATGTTGCACAGGAAGTTTCAGCTGCACGTTAGCTGAAAAACCATTCTCCCTAAACCTGGGATGTAATTCAAAACGTAAGACTCTACCAAAGCTTTGGGCAAAGCTACTTTACACTCCCTGCTTTACCAATTTTAATTACCTATTTTGGAATCAAGTTGACAATGTCTGCTTTTAAGTAGGCAAAGCCTTAGATTTTAAAAAAAGTATGTCAGGTTATCAGATAACACGGGGAAACCAGATATAATCATTATTTTTAATAACATCTTTGAACTATAGCTAGACATTGTATAGCCCAGAAGTAACAACTACCCTTAAAGGACATGAGCCCCTGGAGGTCAGGTGAATCACAACTCTCTGGCAGTCTGCTCAGCTGTGAGACTCTGGTATGAGTGCTCAGTTTCTCTTAAAAATTCTTTGCTTAGAACAGAACTGGAGAGTTGAGTACAAAGGTTCTTCACTGGGAAGCTGGTAACCTGATGCAGGATGCCTGAAGAATGGCAGCCTACACACATATAAGATTCCACTGCACCACACACGCTGTAAGAGAAGACCAGGATTATTGGGTTTTTACTTGCTATATCCATGCCTAAAGGCATGTGGCTAGCCAGAGCACACCATCAAAGGACAGCATTCTAAAGACCCAATTTCTCAACAGAAAACAAACCCACAGAGAGACAAGAGTTATAAGATTGTTGTTTTAATCAACTTTTGTCTCATCAAAATCACAAAAATAGAACAAAGGAAACACCTGAAAACAGAGATAAATACTCCTATTTGTCTTAAAATATTTAAGATAGAGACATGTATCAATACAAAAGGTATTCTAAACTCAGAGCTGTAAAGATTATTAGTCTATGCTATACATTCCTGTTTGTGTTTGTCTTAAACTGAGAAAGCTAAGTGGTTACATACTCATGTTTAGACATCTACCATGCACACAGATAGCTCTGCTGCTTTTTTCTGCCCCCACAGTTTGGGAAGCAATTCTCTACTATGCCTTACATAAGAGTTGAGCTCATTTTCTCGGCCAAGTTATGGTGTGGAAAATCAAAATGAACCAATTTACAACAACAAAGCAGCAAGAATTTGTTTGATTACTCACCATCTTTAGCTTCTGATCTATGTCCCAGTTTAATCTGTAAAGAAATTATTTGTATTATATAAGGTTCAGCCATCTGCCCCATCAATAGTGGATACATTCTTTAGTACCGCTTTTCTAAGACACAATGAGTTTCAGTACCATGAAGCACGTTACCAGCTAGGGTTGGTTTTGGTTTGGGTTTTTTCATTTAAAAGTAATTGTCTCTACAGCACTAGTTTTTATAAAAGCTTAACAACACTCATGACATAATGTAAACTAGCTACGCAAAATCCCTTGTAACCATAAAGCTTTATTATACTACTAATGAGCTTATCTTCAGGGAAAAATGAGAGTGAAGTAATTGAGAGTTGTCTTAGAATGACTGTAGTAAAATCAACATACTCTGTAAACTGCAGCTGGCTTGAAGTCCTATCTCAGTCATCTACTATCCTGAAATTTTCAAGTCCTGAACCCTGCCATTGATATTTCCAGATTATGAAAGTTAAGAAAATATTCTGATAGGAACAAAAATGCTTTACACAATATGCTACCAGCAGCAGCCATACGAGTAAAGTACTATAATGCTAAAAGGGATTAGTGCATCAAACAAAATTACCTACTATTGATACTGTTCAACTTGCTCAGTAAAAGCAAGCTCTTTAACCAAAGCACTGTAATGTGCATTTTTCATCCCTCACAAAGCACTAGAGCTATCACCTGGTTTTTAAAACAAAAACTTTCTGCAATATCTTCAGATGGTATGGACTGAAACTGAAATAATATGTTAATATTTTTCCATTAAAACTGTTAAATCCTGTAAATGTCAAACTGCTTAATCCGCTTGGGTGTTCACATATCTCATCTATTGCAAGCACGGCCCCTGAACATTGTAACAACATTGCAACCATATTGCAAAATAAGACTGAAAGGCCCGCAAAGTGTAACCATGTTGCTACATTAGGATGTAATCATACTGTAAAATAGACTCTTTGTCCGTATGAAGCAATCGCAACAAATGCTGAAACTAGTCCAAGGACTTTATATAATCAGAACAGAAACTGCGCGTGCTTATGCTAAAAGGTAACTAAAGGACAAGTAATGAAGGAAAGACCACTTGAGGAAGTAAACGACCACCAGAGGGACTGAAGTTGCAGTAATAGGTCAACAGATGGCAGCAGAGACCGTGAAATAACGAACTTCTTGCCTCTGCAGCCAGTTCTGGGAACGGGGGGGCCATCCTAAGTAATTCTCGGAAAGTTTATGTGTGAAGTAAGAAAACATAAACTATGTACTGATAGCTATTACTCGGGAGCGCTTAGGGAGGAGAATCCCCAGTGCTACTCCAGCACCACAATAAAGAATACCTGCTTAACAGTATCTTGTGCTGTTGAGTCACTTTGTTTCAAAACACTTTATGACAACATACATTTTCAACACTTGTATTCTCGCAGGTATATTAAAAGATCGCTTTTGTCAAAAAAAAAAAACCAAAAACAAACTACCACAAACTCAATCAGGGGTAACATTTCTGGACTGAAGGAAATCAGGGACAGTAGGAGGCAAGACTGCAGGGCGGGGTAGAGCAAACTAACACACTCTCAGGAACTAACAAAGTCTGAAGTTTGTAAATGTGTGTGGTCTGCTGTTCTGGGGATTTTTTTGTTGTAGGTTTGGTTGCATGGTTATTGTTGGTTTTCATTTATTTTATTTTCAGAAATCCAACAAATAACTGAAATTTCAAGTTGCAAACCAAGTTACCTTTTAGAGACTCAGACACAGGCATTGAAGCCAGGTTAACTACATCATTTAAACAAAACACTCTAGAAACAAGAATACATATTCTCCCATTACCCATTAAACCAGTAAAAAAAAAAAAAAAATAAAAGAAGAATTTGGGCGGGCGACGACCACCCAGACACTTGACCACTGTTGTGGTTAAACCCCAGCCAGTAACCCAGAACCACCCAGCTGCTCACTCCCTCCCTCCCCTTCTTTCCCCTCCTGCTCCCAGACGGATGGGGAGGAGAATCAAAAGAATGTAAATCTAATGCGTTGAAATAAGAACAGCCCAGTAAATAAGGTATAATACAAAACCACTACTGCTACCACCAGTAACATAATAATCATAAGGGAAATAACAAGGGGAGAGAACATAAAACTAAAAGGAAAAAGAAAAAACAATAAACACAAGTGATACACAATGCAACCGCTCACCACCCGCCAAGGGATACCCAGCCCGACCTGAGCAGTGATATGGATAAGAACAGCCCAGTAAATAAGGTATAATACAAAACCACTACTGCTACCACCAGTAACATAATAATCATAAGGGAAATAACAAGGGGAGAGAACATAAAACTAAAAGGAAAAAGAAAAAACAATAAACACAAGTGATACACAATGCAACCGCTCACCACCCGCCAAGGGATACCCAGCCCGACCTGAGCAGTGATATGGGCCTTCCGGGTAACTCCCCCCAGTTTACATACTGGGCATGATGTGCTGAAAAAATAACTGCTACAGCTGCAACCACGACAATCGCACAAGGGGAAAATACTCTGACACTCACCTTTTTAATAGCCACGATTCGGTTAGTGTTCTTGTCCTTCGCTTTATAGACGGTAGCAAACTGAGGGGAGAAAGAAGCCAGCGTCACTGCCGGG